CACTGCCTACATTCGTTCAAAGATAAAATGTGCAAATTATACCACAGAAGCATTACTTATCTTTTGAAGGCCTAAAGACCGTTAAAAATGCATGTGATTCACTCTCACAAGGAATGATCCCGAACCCGGAAATTCAAAAAATTATTAAACTTTGTGGATACGTAGAGGGTTCTTCTTCACGGTTATTAATTGGTGTTTGATTATCATTCGTTACTCTGAATGTAATCATAAGCAAACGTATTACATTTACCGGATTTATGGCAACCATTTTACTAGATAAATGTTTTCTTAAAAAAAATTTTAAAGCATTAAAATATGGACGTGTAGTATCACAACTTTTTAAAGGCGCAGGAAAACATGTTTTCGCAAAAATTTCGGATAACGAATATCTTGTCTAATTTTCGCTGCACTCTGTGTCCTCTGTTTCTATTTAGATATAATAGAAGATTGATACTGGCGTATACAACAACGCAATTGGCAAAAAATTATTCATAATGTATATATAGGTAGCGGATAATTATTAAAATTATCTGCATTCAAGAGTAACTAATTTTAGTTAATAAGAATTACTAGCAGATACAAATGTTAAAAGAATATAATATAAAAGTAATAATTATTTATATTAATATACAATCGTGTTAATAAATATAAGCTTTTAATCAAAGAAAATGATAGATGGGATCAAGAACAACAATTATTGTCCTAAGAACCTTTTTATATCAGTAACCTTTGTAAATAAAATAAAAACGAAATATATGATTATGTGTATTCAGTAATATTTTTTGCTACCTTAAAATAACAAATGATAATCAAATCGCTTTAAGCAACAATCCATTTCCTATTTTCATAACGAGTTTTAGAACCTTTCAATAGTTTTTAAGCTTTTTTGTTTATAACTTTTTGTGGTTGTTTAAACAATTTTTTGCTCCAACATAAACGAACACTATACATTAAGACGAACAATTTTCGTTTATGAAGTTTTTGGATGTCTTTAACGGTTTCGGAGAAAAAGAAAAAAACGAAAAATGGCCGAAACTTTGAGGGCGATTTTTACCTCGTTAGACTGAAAATGGGTAGCAAAAAAAAATTGCGTTTTAATCAGGGGGGCACCCTCTATGTATCCACAAAGTTTCATAATTTTTTAAATTTCCGGGTTCGGGATTATTCGTTGCCAGTCAGAGTCAGATACTGTCATTCTCTTTAGTCTTCTTTTATTCAAAGTACCATAATTTAATTCGAATAACGTGTTTCTTAACAATAATTTGTATTTAAAAGTAAACTTTTGTTAACTTCTCGAACCACATGGCTAAAATTTTATTGTCTGCTGTCTACTGTCACGTCACAATTTAAAATGATACCTTCTTTAGCTTTTTTAAATTAAAATATAAACCTTAAATTGATAATTCGAAAACACTTCTTCAATCTGCAATCTTTCACATTAATATTCTTTTAGAAAATCCCAAGATTCACAGATAAAAATATTGAAAGCTTCACAAAATATTTGCCAAAGTTAAAAAGTGAACCGCTCTGGATGAAATTAAAGTTGGAGAATAATCAAGACTTTTTGTCGATATATTTTTTGCTAGCTTGTCAGAATTTCAGCAAACAGACGCCGGAACAACGAGCTACGAACCGTTCAGAAAACGTCCTTCCATGGACGTTACTTCCGTTGTATTTCGGGACTGGCGGGTTTCCATGGATTGCAGCGCGTTGCATGCCTTGGTCATTGGCCGTATTTTGCCATCTGCTCTATCGTGCAAGTATAGCCCGTTATTTCATGTCGCTCAGTTATATTTCAATGTCGTAATTCCCTTTTGTTCTCAACTTGCAAAGTTCTTTTCACTAATTGAAGTTACAATATATTTCGTTGCTCTATAATATTGAGTTAAGATTAATCTTTTAAATCCAAAAGTACTCGATTTTCAAATTAAACATGGCTAATACCAACAGAAGGTTATTTTTAACCTTCACCAGCTAAATATCCCTAATTTCTACCAGTTAAATATTGAAAAGAAAAATGGAGCAAAATAATCAACTCAAGAATGTGAGTGTTTAACAAAAATAGTCCATTCGATCATACGAACACGATCATAAGACTTTGTTTTACAAAAGATCAAAGTCACCTTTAAATTCTTGATACAAATTGACATTCATAAACAATAAACGCTGTTTATTACTTAACGATGAAACTTTGCAGGTAATTTGTCGTGTTTGATTATTACTATGTTATCTGTGTCGGTAATAATCATTTTATTAGACATACGCATGCTGTCGCAATATTTTTGTACTTTTGTATGCAATATAAATTCATTATAATTATCAGAATTATCGTCGATATTAGTACTTTGAACGTCTACGTCGGAAAAATTAATTGAAGTATGAATTTGTAGAAATTTTAAACCTCGTTACACTTATAACCACCTGGACAGTAGCAACGATGGTTACAATCGGTTACGTATTATCGAATCGCGTAGTAAAAATGATATATTTTCATTAACTGACGAAGGAACTATGTAAACATGCAATCTCTTTTGTTTTATCCATGGTTGCTGTAGTGTTTCAAATAAATATAGCTGGCACAAATTTGAAAACTTTTTTTCAACCTTTGCATTTTCGTGTAATACGATAAAAACTATCCAATTCTGGTTAAGAAAGCTTTCTTCTATCTCCAACAATTATCAAGTTAGCTCTTGGGAGTTGAAACTTTGAAGGGTGATTTCACCCCTTAAAATTGGTGTATTACAATTTCACGCATTTATTATTTTTGGCTATTCTTGAAACCTGGAAAGTTTCATCAAAATGGGAATATGACCGCTCGAGACCGTCGAAGAAGAAGCAATTCAACGCGATCGCGATAGAATCACTGACATGTGACAACTTCATAATTCATGTCCACCAACACAGATTCGATCTAATCCTTGCTAATCTCTCCCATCCCTTCCCCCTCTCTCTCTCGTTCATTAGTTAAGATGAACACGATACCATTTACCCTGACAGCCACGTAGCCAGTGTAAAAGTAGCACGATATGACCCTCACATCTGTCCTGGAAACACTTCTATTTCTTGGTGGATAGAGTAGCATAGACACGCCTACAAGTTGGCCTTATTTTGACCCAAGTTGATAAAAAATGTACCAATACCAAATTCCAATGTTTTGCAAAATTTTTCTCTAAATCTGCATCACTGATATCAGCCTCAGTTAAAATTCTATTTGAAGTATCTCTACAGGGTGTCTCTAAAGTGGGACAAATTGTATTTTTAAAACGATGCAGTACAATTGCACTTTTTCTTTTAAATCGAATCATATATCTGCAATCTTTCTGATATGCATAGATCTACTCAAGTGGGATCGAACGTGTTAAATGGAATGTTTAAGACGTATAGATATTCTAATGATAAAATAACCATGAATATTTTGGTTATTGACATAAAGATTAACAGAAAACGTGAAAAGTGAGATGTCATCGTTATTCTAAGACTCATCTTTAGGGCAGGCTGAAAATGAGACTTGCTTGTTACCAAAAGAAACTCGTGCAGAGTCAAAGCGTGTCGTCGACGAGGAATAGTTCTGGTCGTAAAATTTACGATAGTGGTGGATGTCACTAAAATAAGACTGAGAGAATCAGATACTGGACGTTCAACAAACCAGACAGAAATACGATTTGAAAACGTCAGGAATCGGTGAAAAATTAAGCACGTCTCCGTTGCCCGACACGTCGGATCGATAAGCCGAAATTCAGGAAATCTTACATAATTGACGAACTCGTAGCGGCTACGAGTGGAACGGACGGATAACGTTTCGCCGACGCGACGATTCGCGCACAGACACCGTCACTCTACGAGAATCAAGCAGCAAAACTATCCCAAACGATCAGGGCTAATCATTTAATTCCGTTCGGAGCGGGAAGACAGAACGGCACGCGAAGCAACGTTTCGTCTCGTATCGATCGGCGGCTAGCTTCGACAAAATTTACGAAACGCGCGAATCGAAAAACAGACAGAGAGAGAAATAGGCTAGAGGGCGAGTGAGAAGCAACGAAAGAGAGAAAGCGAGAGTGGGAGAGAGAAGGAGAGAGCGCGAACTCCCGTTCTGACTTCACGTGGCTTCTATTGATTTACTACGAGGCGCTGCTTTTGCGAAAGAAAGAAAGCACCGCAAAATTTCGTAGTGAAAAGTTCAGCCACTAAATCGATCCGATGTCAGTCGACATCTCCTTCTGGCTGTTGTGTGTCTGGGTGTATAGTCACGCTAGCACTGCAACAGTCTGCCCCAACGCAACGGTTCAGTGACACGGTACACTATACGACACACGGCATCGGTCTGGCTTCAGGGAATCGACACCGGTTGTTTCCGGAATCAAAGAACAGACACCAATGCGGCACAACGCGTTTCCTGATCACTCGTATCTCGTCTGGTTTCCTCTTACGATTCAATACCATTGTATAATCCGTCTCTAATTATAATCCCTATCACCCTGAAAGAGAGATCCCGAGTAATGTCACAGTATTAAAAATCGTGTGTCTTAAAGTCTCACATCCTTATCTCTAAATCAGAGTTCATTGTAATTTGACTTCTGAAAAATTTTCCTCTAACTGATAAACAGAATCGTATGCACATCAGGATTCTGAGATGGTAATAAAAATTGCACCAGCAATTTCGTCCTCGACCCTGTATTTGGTATTTCTCAAAGTGTGTCAAAAGATCGCGTAAAGCTCACCTGCCGTCAGAGGGTGGCAAGCACCAAGGACAGGCAAGCGAGCAAGAGAAGTCGAGAAGCGGCGAGAGCAAGAGACAGGAGGTAAAGAGAGGGAGGGTGGAAAAATGAGCAGGTCGCAGGCCGCAGGGCGTACGAGCTACATCCGTACCTCCTTACTTCGGCAAAATCAATAACCTGTTTGGGGGTGTAGGAGAGAACCTAAGGAGAGAGGCCATAGCACGGCACCGCCGCACTAGGTGGCAAAGGTAGCACGAGTCAGGTGTGTGTTAGAAAAATACGTACGCGATCCAACAGTGATTATCCAAAGTCGTTTGTTCCCTCGGACGTTCGGGATAGTCGTGTATGGGAATAAAGTGTAACCAGCACCACCCCTGAAAGTCCTGGCACCTGCAATCGTAGCTGGGACGTCCGAGTGTAACCGAGCCTCCTCCAGTCCAATCGGTTCGACTCAAAAGGTTAGATACACCGGGCAACACGACCGGTATGTTTCACTGTCTACTCGCCGGGTTCGGGGGTTCGAGAAACTCTAGCTCTGGCACGAGCTCACCACGCACCGGTATTATCGACGATTCTTCCTTTTTCCAACAACTCAGAATCCTGCGACGATCACACTGTCAGCAGAGGTCTCCCCCTCTCGAAGCTTACCCTCTGTTATCATTACCCACCACCTTGCGGATAGAGAACGAACGTCTCGTCTCGTTTGTTCGTTATCCGAATCGCGCGCTCTTCTCTCCACCGGAAAGGAGAGCATTCACTACCACCCTGACCCCTTTCAATCCGTTGTCCAGAATAAAAAAAAACAGGTAACGATAACACATCAACCCGATGAAGACGGTGGCCGTGGGGTAGGTAGATGAGTTACACGCGCTCCAACGCACGACTTTTCTGTCAAACGGCTGCTTCCCCGAGAGGAGAAGCGAAACCAAGAGACAGAGAGAAACGGACGCAGCACAACGACACGCGTTTCAAGCTGTCGCGGCTATGGGGCGCGGACCACTACCTCGACGAGCCTCCCGGATCGTTGGATAAAACTCGGTGGGGCCGTTCCGGTCGGCGTGCGAACTCCCCACTCTCTCTTTGCCCCTACCATCGACACACGACCCATGTTCGTCTCCCTTCCCACCAAGCCTTACCCTCTCGCCCATCTTTCCTCCTTTTCTTTCCAACGGCCACCCACCACCTGCGTTACCCCTACCATCCAGCTTAGATACCACGACCGTCGTGTCGCGTCGCGTCGCGTCGCGTCGCCGTCATCCCACGACCCTGCAGGGTGCGCGAGCGCACGACCCGTTCCCTACGCTTCACTCTCATATACGCTTTGCTCGCGCGTGTCTCGTTAACGTTCACCGACCGAGCGCGTCACTCGACCCACCGTGTGCGATCGGGGGTTGGAGATTAGACGATGCTGCGTCACAGCGACCGCCTCTGTCCCTTTCCGGAAAGAATCTGTCGCTTGACCCTGGAATGCCGATGACCCGCGGCGAATTATGGAAATGCTGCGATCGAGATAGGATATAGGTGTTTCGGTACTGTCTCGTCTTTCGGACGATCGAAGGATTTTTAAGCTGGCGCACCGGTGATATATTGGACCGTTGTTGGATAAGGTCGTCGAGGGGATGGAAATTGATGATGGCGCGCCGCGATCTTCCTCTTCGCTATGAGCACAATCTACGCTTCGTGCTCGAGGAAATCGGATCTCGGTTTATAAGGGAGAAATTTCGCTCGGTGGTTCTTTCGAGTTTTCACGGAAGGGCTGATAAGAGAGATAGCGGTCTGGACACGTCGCTTTTCTTCCAAAGATTGATGTTGAGTTTGATTGCGGTTTCATCGTATTATGGACCACAATCTGCTCCTGCGAAATTTTAGTTCTGGTTAAAGTTTAACGAAGTTTATAACATGGAATATGTTGTTAGTTAGTAAATTTAATACTTCCCCTAACGTCTTCTTTATCCTAGAAGAAAACCATAATTTATTAACAAAATAAAACGCTTTCAATTAAACTCATAATATCTTTGAATCTTTAAATGCACAAGTTACTCTTAATTTAACACCTCTTTCTTAAAAATATTTCTCAAGGTATACACTTCTTTTATTAGTATATTTATTTACACCTTCCTGGAGTAAGTCGTTTATAGTTTTCTATAATTGGCAATGCGACTTTCATTTCACTTCCATTTTTGAAACACATTTTGGCTATTTGATGAATGTATCAAAATACACTTTGACCAAGCTTTTACTTATACTTTTTCTGCCCAAGAACCAATGCGACTAGTTAAATTATAAATAACGAAAAGCAGATTTATCCTCTTGAAAATAAGCTTCTTGACCGTCGATATAGAGTTTAAAGCTTCTTCGATAAGCTTCTGCCAAGATCTTGTTTTGGTAAACGGTTAAAGATTTTTGAACGGTAGAAATGTCGTTACAGCGAATGTCTTTTAACTTCAATTTTAGTTAGAAACATACAGAATAATTAGTTGGGAACAAATCGGGGTATAATTATATCTTTAAATGCTCAAAATTTAACAACTTGTTTAAAATTAAGTACTATCAAAATTATTATCACACCACTGATTTACTAACACTTCCTTAATGTTTTATCGTGAAAGCAACTTTAGCATGTTCCATCATCTTATTTGCTTGTCTTAAGGAACAAAATGGCTACGATCAATAAAAGTGAGCTTAAGCGGCAGCTAAACTACAAAGAATTGCTTATGGCGTTCGAGGAGCTGAACGACATTTTAAGCACAGATTGTCTAGTATAATTTTTCTTCGATCGATTACAGAAATTTTTTAACAAATTCAAATTGTTTAGGGGAGAATATTTGATATACGGTAGAAACAATGTCAAATCGAACACGATATCGAAAATAAATATTAAAAAAATACGTATTGGAAGAACAAGTAATTTTCATGATAAATCATCTTATTTAATCGACGCTGGGCTAAAGTTGCACAATATCTTTTCATGAAATACGAGTACTGCATTTTCATTTTAAGTGCTTCCACTTCCTATCGTAACTTATTTTCCATTTGCATACCCGTATGCTATAATAAATTCCATAAATTGAGTAGATCGTAATTTTCAAACCCCATAACATTGGTACCTATAAAATATAAAAAGATGACAGACGACCTCTGTGCCATTAGCAAATTCATGATACAGGGAACGGTAAACGTATCGCGGTTAATTTATACAAAAGTGGCAAATTCTATTCGAATATGCGTGAGCAAGGATATTATATAACGACCAATTTTATCGAGCATGGAAATAGTATTTAATGAAAATTATGAATCGATAAAGAAAAATTAACCCGTTTCTTTCTTTTCATCAAACGCGGTAATTAAAATTCTAATATACTTGAGAGTGAGACATATAAAAATTAATAAATTGATAGTTATCTATATTTTTTAATTGCGGAACATAATATCTAATAAGCGTGGGGGCTAAAATGCAAATTAGGCTTAACCTTTAATTATTACCATGGCTAAGAAATGTAATACGCAGAACAGTGCAGAGTAAAAATAATCTCTATTATTTTCTAATGTGCAGTATCGAGCATGATAAGGTTCTTCCGAGAAAATGATGTCTCCCGAAAGGCTTCCCCCTTCCCCCGACTCCCACCCTATCGGAAGGTGGCCCCACAGTAGATATACAGGGGGGCCTCATTAGGTCTGTGACCTCCCACCACTTGCGTATAAGCTTTTAAGCGGGAGAATTTGGATTAATATTCATTTTACTATCCATATTTCTTATTTATATAATGAATTAAAATTACAGTAATTATTAATATCGTCAAAATTAAGATTTTAAGAGTTTCTGCTTCTTCTGTATCGTCATTTTACCTAAGTAGGCCTATTTTGCTCGATACTATACAAGTAATACTGTCTGTAATTTCCTTTTTTTTTACATATTTGTAATATTAGAATTTTACTAATGTCGAATCGGACTTTGCGGAAGTTTTCTGATTTTTGTAACTGCATATTAAGTTGTTATACGTCAAGTAACTAACTTTGAAACACAGAAAGTTTAACATGATTTGATAACATAAAAGTATCGCAACATAGTACATAAGTACTATAAGTATATAACATAAGTTATATCAATTCGAAACTTGAGGTTTGAAAAAAATAACTACACAAATGATTTATCAATATTCTTAATATGAAAGTATGCCCGACTTTGAAAGATAAAGGAAATTGGTTGATCTATTGTTCCTTCCAATGAAGAACTACACAGTTGCAATTAAAAATATTGATAAAATGTTTACGCAGCTATTTATAGCTAACCTTAAGTTTTAAATTAATATACCATAAGTGTTACTTGGCGATTCTTTTAAATCATCAAATTGATGTCATTTACTGAGGAGCCATATACAAACTCAACTTGAAAATCGGTCATTGTTTACTATAATTGGTAACCAATTATTTGATATTAAGGATACTAATGGAGGGTCCATGTGGTAATTTTCTTCAAATTTTAAGCTTAAAATTGATATGTCACAAAATTTTCTTTTTTATTAAGCATTTGAAACCTTAAACGAGGTTTATTTCTGCTATACAACAACAATAGAAATTTTACATTGTGCGATTTCAAATTTTAAATTACTAAATTAGCAGGATACATGGATTTATTCGAACGTACATTAACGTAACTCAAATAAGTAAGTAGACGATTAAACCATTGGGATCGTAGCTTAAGAAACTAAATATGCAGGTCACAATTTTTTAAAAACGAAAAAATGCAGAGGCAAGCTTTAATATCTGCTTTCGCGATAAGCATTTCTATGTTTAGTGGTAGACTGTTGGAAAGTTTTTTTAAAGATTCGATTAATTTTATCCTTTGAGGTTCGTATAGACGGCACTGTCATATTACATTGCACTTAGAATCGTTGATAATGTCGATACGAGCCAGAGACTCTGCCAAATTGTAGTATGTCACAAAATTAATATGCTATTTGATGATAATTTTATGTCATTAAATTATTTAGGATTTTCTATATTTTAAAGTCAGCCATTTGATACGCGACAATCTAATGGCGTATGTAAGAAATTTTCAGAATTAATTTCGACAGTTTTCAAGACCTTAATTCATTCTTTAGTTGAATTAACTTTTACATAAGGATGAAGAAGATTAATAGAATATGGAAGTGCAATTCAATTAAATAAATCTGGATATTATACAGGAAGGAAGTCGTAATTTCTTTTTAGTCAAATCATTTATGGTTAATCAAATGTGCCAGAAAACAAAAAGCACCGGTTTTATATATAAAGAAGCCCTTGTTCAAAGGATATTACGTGTCACGCGAGAACACTCGGCCGTGTGTAACTTGTACGATAGTTCTTTTTTTATTACCGGACACCTGACGTAACATTTTTTATTCCCTTATATTTCAACACTCACTTGTAAATAATTTGATTTTTGAAAATACTTTGAACATAGTAGAAACTGTGACTAAAAATATCCTGAAAGAGAACATTGTCTGTAAAGAATCTAGAAAAATGGATAAAGTATCGAATCATAAAGAAATATACATAACTTATTTATTAATGCAATTATTAATTATTATTATCTATTAATATAAAAAAAAAAATATTTGATTTGCAATTATGTATCATAAATAAGATTTAAACATATTGTCAATATCATTAGGTAATATTTTTTTATTTTTAACAAATGTTGTCTATGATTTTTACAACGTTTAATTAATTTTATTATCCGAAATTTCAAACACCTAATAGGGGTATTTTTGATTAGATGAATAAAAGAACTTTTAATGATACGGATAATGGATTCGAAAAGAAACTCTAACGTCACCTAAATATACTTAAGTAAGGTAGAAATCAATGTGGTAACGTATGAATAGATATATTTTTAGCATTTTAGCGTGAAAGAAATATTGAACGAGCAAATGTTCGACAGAAATGCCACACGTACATATACCTCATGAGCATACGCAAATCCTTATCCGGGATGAGAGTTTATCAGAACATTTCAGACGCGTTTAGGACGTTTCAACCTACTTCGAGGAAACCTATAAAGCGTGCCGTGAATACCTTTTACCTCAAAGGACGAAAATTAATGTTGGTTCAAGGCGAACAGGTAATCCAGATGGAATTCAAAGGAGCGCCATTAATATTTACTGTGGAGCAATGAGTTACATCAATCATTAAGTGACCACTTTTGAAGAAATTTTGTAGAAAGATTGTTTCATTTTTATACTGTTTACATGGCTTTTTAATTGTCATTTAAGAAGACAAATTGTATAGTACTTTCAAATATTTTTCAGCTAAATTTTTTGTAGATATAATTGCAATTGCAAAAATTAAATAATATATATTAATTTATTTTCTTACTACTGTTTGTGTTTAATATGTAAATAAGAAAATATTTTAGAATGAATTGTGAATTTAAAAGACTTGTCCTAGTGACACTTCTGATCTCTTCTAAATGACAAAGGTTGCCATTTCAAGCTCAGCTGAACATCAATTATAAAATCAATTGACTGTAAAATGGTGGAAACAATTTTAAAAGCGATAAATTATTGCCCTCTAGCTAGCAATTTATCTAAAGCTGGTGGAAACATAAAATGTATGTCATTATATTATAAAATTAAAAAAGTGATCATTGATAAAATCATTGATGCATAGCACAGTAAATAATGATAAAGTAAAGAAAATTTATGTAAAACTGTCTTCAAAGAATCAAAATTTAACATTCTAATAAAGAAATAAATCTACGTCGACTAATGGATCATTAATTAATTTCCACTCAGTAATCATTCGGTATCTATTGATAGACTTCTGACTGATATGGTGGAACTGACAGAAAATCAATTCCTAAGAATATTAATAATTATCTGTAATTCATTCTTAATAATAGAATTTCAAATTTTATCAAATTTCAATTGTTATTATGTTATATAATGATAGTAATAAATGTCGGAATATATTTTACATTTTCAACAGGATAGATGTAAAAATTGATGTATGTAAATGAGCTAAGTCTCTTAACTTTGTTAACAGTGTCAAGTGTTTACCTTACATTGCGCAAAGTTTATAAAAGAATCTCAAAATCTTCGATGTTTCAATTTTTTAATTCTAGAATTTTGAAATTTTGATATTTTGAAATTTAGGAAACTTAGAATCTAAGAATTTTAGAATGATCTAATTTTTAAATTTTAGATTAAAATTTAGATTTATTAAAACTTTGGAAGTTTAAAATTAGAGAATCTAAGAATAATAATGTTTCGTCCATGAAAAAATGTATAAGAAAGTGTGAAATCGTTCTTTGTAAAAGTTGCGTACTCTCAACGCGTTAAATTAGAATCATTATTAAACGTTTAGTACTGTAAAACGATCCCCTCTTGTATACATCATCATCTTACATAATCGATGCTGGCAGCTCATCTGTACATCAAAGCAAGACGTTATCGGCCAGATGTCTCGATTGGTATTTAGATGCAAATGAAATGCAGTCCATGCATTTAAATAGCAATTGCAATAATGAAATATTAGAAATAGTAACTAGAACATTTAATTAGAGCATCGAAAATGCCCACGTCTTCGATTGAAATCCAATTTCCCGGGAATTAAAGCGACAACCCAGTTCTCACGAAATTAATTATAACGCTGAAAGAAAGATAACTTGTACTGTACATATAACTGTTTATATAATTTTTTCAAATTTTTATTAATTCACGAAATCTAAGAAAAATAGACGTGAAAAACTGCGTGTTTCAATTTATACATCGAATGGCTCGTAAAGGTTAACCGAATTAATTTTGTATTCAATCGGAAATTCTTTTCTCCTTGGATATGCAATAAAAAGTAAACAAAAGAAGTTCATTTATTTTGGGCGTACACTTCTCCAGAAAAAAATGATGACGTCTTGGCTTTACGTCCTTCGTTATAGACTTTTCGAGGGGAACTGGCGATGTAGGGGAGGTGGACCTCAATATATATATAGGACATATAGTAATTGATATTTACTGTCATTTGTATTTTTTTATATTAAATTCATTAAATTTTATAATATTTAATAATTAAAAATCATATTGTTTATTTTGTTTCAAAATCTTTTTTAATATTAATATTTTCAAAATTATGATCTTGAAAATCCTTGCTGCACCTATTAATTATATAGATCGCGAGTGTACCTAACTACATAATATGAAGTTCATTTTCAGAATACTTTTTTATATTTACAATATAATATTTTGATGTCGTTTTACGTTTTGAAATCAAAACGTAAAATCATGATCAAGCATTTAAAATAGAGAAACAAATTGTAGCAAACATCAAATGTAAGAATAATATATTTCCCGGTAAACCGGAAGTGTCGATGACCTGCCGCGACCTACAAATGTAATCTTTCTACTACTTGTGCACCACTTCGATGGCACGTGTCTGTTCCTTCGGCAACTTCTGATAATATTCAAAAGTTTCGCACACAGGCACCCCTTTATTTCGACCTCTATTATTGACATTCGTTGCACACGGCCAGTAAACGGAACACAGGATGCAGCAGGCGGCACACGCGGCGTGTTCACTCGTGCAAAACACCCAGCCGTTTTCTTTCCCTTTTTTTTCCGGGGTCGCTGTTGGTGTTCTTCACATTCAGCACCCCAGCAGACGCCGTCGTCGTCGTCGTGGACTAGCGACGATTCAAAGCGTCGCGATGCGGGCACCACGATTTCCAACTTCTCTTTGCTTGTCGGTTGACTGGAGTAGCTACGCGAACTGTCGAGTTTGAATTATATTAACTGTTAGGGAAAGTTTCTCCAGTTCTTTTCTTAGAAATCTTTTCTAGCAAGTATAGAGTTCTTTGCTGAAATGTGGATATGATTTTTAACACACTGACTGTCGTGGGGGTTATTGGTGACCGCCGCGACGAATCTAATACAATCGACTATTCAGAAGAAAAAAATGGTAGATAGAAAATGAAAAGTTTAAATTAAAAAGTGACGCAAACGTTTTTTACTATTAGTAGAAGGTGGAAAATGTGTAAGATTTGCATACTAATGTAATAAAATTGTAAAAATGTATGTTTACATAAATACTTACAGTTTAATAATGGCAATCCAGAAGCCAGTTATTAATTTTTTCTGCGTGTTCTTCAAGTTTTTCCTTAGAAATGTACTTGTTGTTACAAAGTGTAGATATGACTGTTAATCAAAATAATTACCTTTATTTTATGTAACCTTCATTACCCATCATTAAAGAACAGTACAAGTAATAAATTTGTCAGTGAATTTTTATAAATGTTCTGCATTTTCTAAGATGCTTACTCTTCAGAATGATAATTACGGAGCCAATTTTGAGGTGAAATTCCTCAAGGTCTACACCTGGAAATATAAATATTTATTGTTACTATATGATTGTTAATTAAAATATTTACTACTGTTTTATATGATTTTGAACTATCATGAATAAATAATACTGATTGTAAAGTCATAATTTTGTCATACATCTTTAATATTTGCAATATATTTATTATATTGAGCTAGATAAATAATGATCTAACATAGATAAGTCTGGTGTATACATATAGAATAAAATTGCACAAAATGATCCTCTAGTTAAACTTTTTCTAATAATCTCTAATTAATAGACCATTTTATAGTAATCGTAAAGCTGGTTAATACGTATCGTATAAAATTTGTCGAGTTCCTTTCCCAGAAATGTATTTAACGTTAAAAGAAATGTAGATACATGTAGGTAACAATTAATCACATTGTTGATTAGCGAAAATGATATTCACCAATATCTTTTCATGCATATTCGATATTCGAACTACAAATTAATTCTCTGTTCTATGGTATCGTTTGAAAATTTTAAGCTACGAATGTCAAAAGTTTAGAGCCAACTTTTTTCAAAAAATCACAACACGAATAACATAAATATTAACGCGAGTCAATCAATATTTCACATGCAAAACTTTAGAGTTTAATTTTAAAAACTGCCACAGGTGAATCTGCAAAATTACACAAAGTTATGAAATTTTATTACCGCGGAAAAATTCATGAAAAAATGTAAGATTTCGTGTATTTTTGGTGGTTAATATGTAGTAATAGCTGATAGTGATGTATTTATTCTAAAATAAATATTTTGCTGTTCTAAATAAGTAAAATAAATAACTTCCTGAACAGATTACAGGGGGTTCCACGAAATGTTCTTGCAATTACATCTTCGTAACAAAGTTCCTGTAAGGATAACAATCGTAAAGCCAGTTATTCCTTGATGTCACCACGGTGTGGTTAAGTATTTCAGCTTGATCCTGGCTGCTTGAAGTCGAGACATTTGCCTCGGACGAGAAAATCCACCCCAACGGCATCTGAATATTGCAGCCTCATCCACTTCACGAGACGTCGGCTTACTTCGTCTGCGAGTAAAGGGTTGTGTCCCTAGCTTTGAGAATCAAGAGGGTTTCAGTATGCGCGCATGAGAAACACTGGTTATTACGAAAGCAAAAGGAGAAAAGTCGGCGAGGGTCGAACTAGAAGGGGTAAAAAAAATATTCAGGATGAGTTGTCTGAGAATAAGGTATATCAATTTATTATTGAAGACACCGAGTCATGATGCAAATAAACACAGTAACTATTATGAAAACAACAATTTTTTGACCTAGAAAAATATTTTTTTTTTTGCTGCTTTGTACAGAGTGACAGGAAAATAGATGGTTAAACTTTACTGGAATGTTCTATTTTTTCTAAGGATAGAAAAAGATCAGAAAATACACTAGGAGTGTGCGGGTACCGGAGAAATCGGGTCGATTCGGGAAAACTCAAGGTTCATACAGGTTCTATTTCGCTCGAGCTAAATAAAAATACTTTTTATTTATTAAATGTATTTTCTATTTTGAAGTAAATTTTTATAATGTAGAAATGCTTATAACTTATTCAATATGTTGACTGTGACATTCAACCTGTCGAAAGTTCCATTAGATAATATATATTTTTATTTTAAACAAATCCTATCTATTGTTTTCACAAACAATTCTGGTAAATGTCTACAATTAGGGCCTCAACGAGAAATCAATTGAAAAGAGGTAAATTCTATATATTTTTGCCCCTCGAATCCAAAACTGTTGATAAAATTTGGGGGTCGCTTGTTTTTTAGATACATAGATTTTTTAAGATACATAGATTAGGTTAAGTTAGATTATCAGAAAAAATATAACTTACCTCGCGGCAAAAACTTGACCAGTCAACAATAGCCTCCTTGAAAAGAATAACTTTAAACTGTGAATTTAAACGAAGTGTTAACAGTGGTACGTGGCTAGCCAATTCTAATCTTGATATCGCGACGATTGCCCGTTTTATTGGATATTTTCTCATGATGCGTTCTCCGCGCTGTGCATTCTATGAACAGGAATTAGAACTGAGCAAGGAGACTATTGTTGACTGGTCAAGTTTTTGCCGTGAGGTAAGTTATATTTTTTCTGATAACCTAACCTAACCTATGTAGGTTAGTGACGCGCTTTAAAAGTATTGTCTACCCCACAAAATTATTAACTTTTTATCATAGTATCTTAGTAAATACTAGCGATCCCCAAATTTTATCAACAGTTTTGGAATCGGGGGGCAAAAATACATAGAATTTACCGCTTTTTAATTAATTTCTCGTTGGGGCCCTAATTGTAGACATTTACCAGAATTCTTAACAATAATTCTACAAATTCATTACAACCCATACTTACTAAAAATTATAATAATAGATAAAAAAAAATCTGTCATTAAATATTCCTTCAAAACGATCCTTTTATACTCTGTACAAATTTTTGTTTCGTGTCACAGGAAGGTAATACCAAGTTTATAATACATTCTGATCCTACAACACGGTAAATTGAAATAAAAGTACTGCGGATCTTGGAGAACGGGTATGATGTACAAGATAGGCGTGATCGTTTCCGAAACTTCGATAAAACTTGGACGACCGGTATTTCATGCAAGTGCATTAAGAGCTTCTTGCAAAACGATTCGGCTACGATCTAAATTGGATTCGACCGAGGAATTTTTGCGATAGCAGCTTTATCAATACCGCATGGATATCAACTTTTCGCGAATATTCGTCCGTTGGGGGGTAAAGTTGTTTCATACAGCGAATGAACTAGCCGACGAATATAGGCAGCGACCGCAACGGGGTTTGGAAAACCGATCGAAGGATAAATCATTCTGTTTCCAGCTACTGACGAAATCCTGAAATTTTAAGGTACATAAATGACGGCTGTCTCGAACAAAATGCACAGATAACACGGCGTCTGTGACGTTAAAAATACACCCATCGAGATAGGAAATTTATATCAAAATTTATTTACTCGTTTCGCGAAATATTATTTTATATCACGGTATTGGTTTGTTTTATCAAATACAATTATAACGAATAACATTTCTTATCTCATGGAATAAATATTTGGAAAATAAGATCTCTAAGTTAAGATTTTTAAGTTGTATTATATACATATTTAGAAATCAGCACAAACCACTATTAAAAAATGCTTTAAAATGATCATGATTTCAAAGTATAACTGTAAAAAAATGTCCTCAATTGATTTACTATTAGGTAAACGAAATTATTGTAAATTATTGTAAATTATTGTAATTATTGGTAATTCATTGTATAATAGCATTATGCCTTCTTAATTACTGTATTAAATTTAAATATTTTCTCGCGCTTCTGTGTATTTGAAAAATGATGCAAAAATATAATAACATTGACGATTACTTCAATAATTAGAGTTATCATGACTGTTTAGAAATAAATCTTTAATTAAAACGCAAAAGGCACAGAATTAATTTGTACACCTAATATGAAGAAAATTAAAATATTTTAGAAATTAACACGAACAACTAAAATATAATTAAACATTATTGTGAGTTCAAAGTACAATTAAATGAAAAATTTGTATCCTTAAATGATTGCTTCTAGAGATTAAAATATTTTAGAAATTAACACGAACAGCTAAAATATAATTAAACATTATTGTGAGTTCAAAGTACAATTAAAGGAAAAATTTGTATCCTTAAATGATTGCTTCTAGAGATTAAAATATTTTAGAAATTAACACGAACAACTAAAATATAATTAAACATTATTGTGAGTTCAAAATACAATTAAAGAAAAAATTTGTATCCTTAAATGATTGCTTCTAGAGATTAAAATATTTTAGAAATTAACACGAACAACTGAAATATAATTAAACATTATTATGAGTTCAAAATACAATTAAAGGAAAAATTTGTATCCTTAAATGATTGCTTCTAGAGATTAAAATATTTTAGAAATTAATAGGAACAACTACTAAAAAATTATTAGAAATTATCACGAATAATTTGTCGAATTTTTCATCGATGCTCTGACACGATTTTCGATATTAAAGACTGTTGATGATTCGTGGGAAAGCCGGAATATGGACTACAGAATGCAATTACCAGAGGTCACATACGGCCGGTCACGGTGCCTTGAAATTATTAATCAGGAATTACATTCGTGTCCAAGTAATTTCACATTACATACCGAGTTATCGGTTTTCATCTCAAAGGATTATCCTCGCGCCGCAATTATGTGAAATCCCGTGTAGCACTCTCAACGATGCTGAGAATTCTCTTACAGGCCACGTTGAATTCCATTCCGATTCACATTCGGCTCGTATGTACTACCAACTCTCTGTTAAATCTCTCCATGCTCGTCGATCAATTAATAACTAACACTAGCGCAGAGTTTCCATGGCCATTTCCAGCAGGAATATCACTCTTTGTTGAACAGACAGACTGGCAGAAATCAGCTTGTAGAAGATGTGTTTGTACAACCAGTTGTCGATTGCGTTTGTGTTACATTCAAATGAAGAGACGTTTACTTATCAGATTGTAGATATTTCTAGATATCTACATTTTTATAGAATACTGTCTGTGTTAACCCTTTTGATTTATAATATTGTATTGTCAGGGACACCTGTATCGTTTATTTTAATTCTTTTAACCTAGCATCTATTTTATGACATGACAGATTTATCCACTCCTGTCATCGGTTAGTTGTTCTCCAGGTCGAGAGTAAATAATTTTAAAAAATAATGATAAAGAATCACTAGATAGTATTTTATACATATTAACCCTCGGACGGTGGACCACGACGAGAGCCACAATTTCAATTTAATTTTGTATTTCATATCAGTTTCATTTTCTAAATTTTACACGTGGAATTCTTTCGTAAAAATTATATACTTGACTTTAGGTTAAAGGATTCAGGATTGTGCCTTCTTAATTACTATTTTAAATTTGAATATTTTCTCATCCTTCTGTGTATTTAAAAAGTAGCGCGAGAATATAATAATAATAATAACAAAAAT